CGTCATGATTCTCTGAAAACCGAGAAAAGCGAGAACGCTAAAACCATTCAAAAACCAATAGGAGATCAATGATTTTTGCCTCTGGAGGCGCTCTTTGGGGCCCTCTTGGGGCCCTCTTGGGCCGTCTTGGGGGCCTCGTGGGCCCTCTTGGGACCATATTGGGCCGTCTTGGGCCGCGTTGGGCCGCCCTGGGGCCATCCCGAGGCCCATTTGGAGTCCCCCACAGGCCCACTAAGCCAAAAATATTGATTTTCAATTGGTTGTTTTAGGTTTGGGCCCCCAGGGTGAGGGCCTCCAGATTTGGCACGGCGCTGTGGCGCGGCTCCAGAGGGGGGGGGGGGGGGGGGGGCGGGGGGGGAGAAATTATAATGTTACACAGCACAACATGCGGCAATTATGCAATCATTGGATACATTGGACACGTTGCATTAAGGCGTTCGCCGAAAAACGCTGCCGCTCAGCACGTCGCCTCCGGACGTGGATTCCTCTCGCTTCGCGGGGTGCACGTCCAGAGCACGGGGTCCTCGTCGCGGGGCCTCTTGGGAGCCTTTTGGGGGCCTCCTGGAAGCCTTTTGGGAGTTTCTTTTGGCCTCTTGGGGGCTTCTTTGGGGGCTTCCCCCCCCCCCCCCCCTCCTTTTCACCCTCCCCATTTTCCCTTCCATCGCCAGCTCCAATCATGGGCGCCGCAGTGACCAACTTCCACCTGGCTGGCGCTGCGCCGCAGTTCGCCCAGAAGGGGGGGGGAAAACATTACACACCAGTCGCTGTGTGGCCTTTGGGGGGTTTGTTGGAGGCCTTTTGGAGGCTTCTGGGGGACTTCTTGGAGGCTTGTTGGGGGCCTATTGGGGCCTCTTGGGGGCGTCTTGGGCCGTCTTGGGGCGCTTTTGCGCCGTTTCGCCCCCTCGGAGGCTGTCTTGGGGGCCTCTCGCGGCCACATTGGAGCCCTCTTGTGGTCCTCTTGGGCCGTCTTCGCTGCCTCTTGGACCGTCTTGGGGGCCTCTTCGGGTCGTTTTGGGGCCCTCTTGGGCCGTCTTGGGGCCCTCTTAGGGTTTTTTTAAAGTTGTTCTGGGGCGATTCTGGACCCAAGGACGGCCCAACAGGGCCCAAGAGCGCGCCTCCAGAGGCCGAAATCATTGATTTTCCGATGGTTTTCCCAATATTTTGGCGTTCTCGTCTTTTTCGGCTTTCAAAAATTCATGACGGCCCAAGCAGCGTCCAGAATCGCCCCAGAACGGCCCCCAAAAAAACCCAATAGGGCCCCAAGACGGCCCAAGAGGGCCCCAAAACGACCCAAAGAGGCCCCCAAGACGGTCCAAGAGGCAGCGAAAACGGCCCAAGAGGACCACAAGGGGGCTCCAATGCGGCCGCGAGAGGCCCCCAAGACAGCCTCCGAGGGGGCGAAACGGCGCAAAAACGCCCCAAGACGGCCCAAGACGCCCCCAAGAGGCCCCAAGAGGCCCCCAACAAGCCTCCAAGAAGTCCCCCAGAAGCCCCCAAAAGGCCTCCAAGCCCCCCAAAGGCCACACAGCGACTGGTGTGTAATGTTATTTCCCCCCCTCTGGGCGAACTGCGGCGCAGCGCCAGCCAGGTGGAAGTTGGTCACGTCCGGAGCACGTGCAGTCACGTCGTCGCGGGGCCTCTTGGGAGGCCTCCTGGAGGCCTCCTGGGAGTTTCTTTTGGCATTGCGGGGGTTTCTTTAAGGGCTTTCCCCCCTCCCTCCTTTTCATACACCCTCCCCATCTTCCCTTTCCATCGCCGGTTCCAATCATGGGCGCCGCAGTGACAAATTTCCACCTGGCTGGCGCTGCGCCGCAGTTCGCCTTGAGGGGGGAAAATAACATTACACACCAGTCGTTGTGTGGCCTTTGGGGGGTTTGTTGGAGGCCTTTTGGAGGTTTCTGGGGGACTTTTTGGAGGCTTGTTGGGGGCCTCTTGGGGCCTCTTGGGGTGGGGGCGTCTTGGGCCGTCTTGGAGCGTTTTTGCGCCGTTTCGCCCCCTCGGAGGCTGTCTTGGGGGCCTCTCGCGGCCGCATTGGAGCCCTCTTGTGGTCCTCTTGGGCCGTCTTCGCTGCCTCTTGGACCGTCTTGGGGGCCTCATTGGGTCGTACCATAGGAAAATCAATGATTTCGGTTTGTGGAGGCGCAGTTATGGGCGCTCTTGGGCCCTGTTAGGCCGTCCTTGGAGCTTGTGGGGCCCTCTTGGGGCCGTCTTGGAGGCCTCATGGGCCCCCGTTGGGAATATCTTGGGCCGTCTTAGGGCCATCTTGAGGCCCTCTTGGAGCCCCAAGAGGCCCAAGAGGCCGAATTGGCTGATTTTCCATAAGTTTTTGTAAGGTTTTAGGCCCCCAGAAGGGGGGGTCATTTTGGTCCGGCGGTGTGGCGCAGCTCCCAGAGGGGGGTTAGGGGGGAGACATAATAATGTAACACAATGCAATATGTTGCAAATATGGAATATTTGGATACATTGGATACGTTGCATTAAGGCGTTCGCCGAAAAACGCTGCCGCTCAGCACGTCACCTCCGGACGTGGATTCCTCTCGCTTCGCGGGGTGCACGTCCGGAGGACGTACAATCACGTCGTCGCGGGGCCTCTTGGGAGCCTTTTGGGGGCCTCTTGGGGGCCTGCTGGGAGTTTCTTTTGGCCTTTTGGGGGTTTCTTTGGGGGTTTTCCCCCTTCCCTTCTTTTCATACACCCTCCCCATTTTCCCTTCCATCGCCGGCTCCAATCATGGGCGCCGCAGTGATCAACTTCCACCTGGCTGGCGCTGCGCCGCAGTTCGCCCAGAAGGGGGGGGAAAAACATTACACACCAGTCGCTGTGTGGCCTTTGGGGGGTTTGTTGGAGGCCTTTTGGAGGCTTCGGGGGGCCTTTTTGGAGGCTTGTTGGGGGCCTCTTGGGGCCTCTTGGGGGCGTCTTGGGCCGTCTTGGGGCGTTTTTGCGCCGTTTCGCCCCCTCGGAGGCTGTTTTGGGGGCCTCTCGCGGCCACATTGGAGCCCTCTTGTGGTCCTCGTGGGCCGTCTTCGCTGCCTCTTGGACCGTCTTGGGGGCCTCTTTGGGTCGTTTTGGAGCCCTCTTGGGCCGTTTTGGGGCCCTCTTGTGGGTTTTTTGGGTTGTTCTGGGGCGATTCTGGAAGCTGTTTGGGCCGTCGTGGATTTGTGAAAGCCGAAAAAGGCGAGAACGCTAAAATATTGCAAGAACCATCGGGAAATCAATGATTTCGGCCTCTGGAGGCGCAGTTATGGGCGCTCTTGGGCCCTGTTGGGCCGTCCCTGGAACTTTTGGGGCCCTCTTGGGGCCGTCTTGGGGGCCTCATGGGCCCCCGTTGGGAATATCTTGGGCCGTCTTAGGGCCATCTTGAGGCCCTCTTGGAGCCCCAAGAGGCCCAAGAGGCCGAATTGGCTGATTTTCCATTGGTTTTTGTAAGGTTTTAGGGCCCCAGAAAGGGGGGGTCATTTTGGTCCGGCGGTGTGGCGCAGCTCCCAGAGGGGGGTTCGGGGGTGACATAATAATGTAACACCATACAATATGTTGCATTTATGGAATCTTTGGATACGTTGGATACGTTGCATTAAGGCGTTCGCCGAAAAACGCTGCCGCTCAGCACGTCACCTCCGGACGTGGATTGTTGGGCTTACGCCGCACCGCCGACCCCTTGGGGGGCTCCTGGGGCTCCTGGCAGCACTTTTGAGGCCTTTTGGGGGCCGTTTTGGGGCCTCTTGGAGTCTCTTTTGGGCCTCTGGTTGGCCTCTTGGAGCCTATTGGGGGTTTCTTGGGGGCCTTTTGGGGTCTCCTGGAGGCTTCTTGAGGCTGAGGGCTCGAAATTTCTGTTCGGGTCCCCCTCCTGGAGCCGTCTTGTGGGCCTTGTGGGCCGTCTTGGGGCCCTCTTGTGCCCTCTTGGAGCCTTCTTGGTGGCTTCCTGGGCCGTCTTGGGGCGATCTCGGAGGCCTCTTGGGCGGTCTTCGACGTTGTGAAAGCCCAAGAGGTGAATGTGCTAAAATCATACGTTTCCGGAAGAGGATGGGACGATTTTTGCTTCTGAGGGCCCTCTTGGGACGCCTCTTGGGGGCCTCTTGGGGCGTCTCGGGGGCCTCATGGGCCGTCTGGGGGCCATCTCGGGCGTCTTGGAACGATCCATCGGCGACTCGGGGTCCTCTTGGACCATCTTGTGGGCCTCTTGGGGCCCTCATGGCCCGTCGTGAGGCCCGTGGCGCGTTCAGCCGGGGCCGCCAGACCCCCCCTCCCCTCCGAACCGACCGGACCGGGCCCAGGGGGGAAGGGGTTTTGGGAGGGGGAATCATCTCACACGCCGATGACCCCAAGGGGTCGGCGGACTTCCAAGATGTCCCAAGATAGCCCCAAATGGCTCAATATTGCTTTCAAATTGCTCCAAGAAGCCCCTCCGTAGCCATGCTGGCTCAAGGCTCAAGTTCAAGGCATTTCGACTCAGGCCGCGGTGTCACAGACGCTACTTCTGCTCACCAGCATTCGTTTATCTAGCCCGCGCGCGCGGTCGACATGACCCCCCTCCACGCAGCTGTTGGTCTCGCGCTCCTCTTCGGCATCGTACAGGGTGCCTGTGTGAACACCGACGGTTGGTCGTCAACTTCACAGGGTTGGGATTATACTACATACAGTAGTCAACAGTATATGTGCTCGTGGTGTTACTGGTATGAAGACCTTGGTTTCGATTCCAGTGAAATGCGACGCCGCCACCGAAGCCAGCACCTACCAAGGCCGCCACGTATGTGCCAACCCAATCGACAGATTCTCAGTCGGATGTTGTTACAGCTTGCCAAAACGAAGAGTTCGTACCCGTTGAAGCCTTTACCGCTCAAGACCAAGCCACATTAGAGAACGATCTTGACTTCTCAGGGACGGGCGACTCGAGTCAGAATCAGTATTGGTTCGTGCTTCTTTGCCAGACTGGTCAGTGGACGTGGCAATACTCTGGTACGATCGCAACTTACACACACTTGCAGTCCAGACGCGACTCGTGCGTTCAGCCGCAAGCAGGCACTGGTTGGTGGAGTAATGGTTGATGGGACAAATATCCAAGCAGCTGGGGATAGTCGTACCGAGTTGTGTGCCTACACACGACGGCCACGAGTTCCGCCTCGCCCAGCAGCAGCACCACCAAGACGACCATCACGACGATCACCGAGACGAGCACGAGTTCCGCATCGCCCAGCAGCAGCACCACCAGGACGACCACCACGACGATCACCGAGACGGGCACGAGTTCCGCATCGCCCAGCAGCAGCGCCACCAAGACGACGACCACGACGATCAGGACGGCAACACGGATCGTGGGCATGATTTCGTGTCCTCTCCCACCTCTCCTCCTCCTCCTCCTCCTCTTCCTCCTCCTCCTCCTCCTCGGCCCCTCTCAGTGCATTGTGCGAGTATTCGTAGTCATTCACGGTCCTCGACCCGGCTGCGCAGTGGCAGGCGTTTCACTCCAGCATCGTCCACATAGTGCAAGGACGATCGGCGTGCGTAGGACCACATTTTGTTGGGAGAGTGTTCTCCCAAGCTGTGGCGTAAACCAGCTCCTGATGTTGGCTCCGTCTGTGCAGTTCTCCTCCCTCCCTCCCTCCCTCCCTCCTGCTTCTCCCCCTCTCCCTCCTCGTATTCTTGTCCCGTTAGTTGCATATTGTTGCCAATGCGCGCGACGGCTCGCCTATCGCAGGTCGGCCTGAGCGTTGCTCCGTTGGGTGCGTTTTATTTTCTCCGCCGTGCACTGCACGGAACCAGATGATACGAATCTGGGCATTCGCGTTACGACGCTGGTTCTTGAATCATGCGGTCCGCTCCCATCTTCTCCCTCCAAAAATAACATCAAAAATGATTGTTGGCATTGGGCTTGGGCATGATGGTCCATTTTGCTGTTTGGGTTCCGAGGGCCAGGCCGGGCCACTCGCGGCGAGCTTCCCGCTCGAAGTTTTGAAAGTGCTCTGTTGTGCTGGGCTGTTCATCAACGTCCGCGTGACATCCCCTAAACATTCCTGGACGTGCATCGCCACCGCATGTTCGCAGGCCCATTTGAAGTTGGTCAACTGGGGTGTCCGTTTTCACTTCCCTTCTTTTCAAACGCGCCCACCACCCCTGTGGCTTCTCTCGCGCTTCCTCACGCACACGCCCTACCACTTGAATATGTGTTTCACCTCTTGTTGTGCGTTTATGAGCTTTCTTACCAGGCGCTTTTTCCAGGCGCTTGCAGACAACTTTTATGAATCACACCTGTTCTGAGCAGGCCACAATTGCACGCTGCGCGCGTTACCCTCATTGGGGCATGCAGCAATGAATTCGGGCGCCCTCCACCATCCTTGCCCCCCTTGCTTCCGGGGAACGAAGGGGGACAAAAACATAAAAACTCTGAGTTCCGCGCGGAGTTCTCGGAGCGGCGCTGGACCCCCCTGGCGCCGGGGAGGGGGGTCCAGCGCTGCCGTCCGGCGCCGCCGCACTCACCGACCCAGGGGACGCTGAAAGCTCTGGGCCGACGCACCCCACGCGGAGGACTGGAGCCTGCGCCTTGTGAAGCCCGAGGAGGGCTTTCTCTGTAGGCGGCACCAGATCAGTGGTGGCGGCAATTCGGAGACGTGACATCGCGAGCTTTGGATCCATCGGGCTCCAGCATCACCAACTTCGGCGGTAGTTGTCTAGAGGCTGCCGCCTCTGCCGCCGACCCCAATTGAGCCACGTGTGTCTGATTCGTTTGCTGTCGGGCTGCCTTTCCGAGCACGGTAGGAAGGGTTCAGGTGAGACATCCAGGCTCGAGCCTCGCCCCCTGGACCCCTGATTCTTTGTTGCACCTCGGACTCCTCTCTATCGTATAGCCTTCGGCCCATCCCGCCACTGTGCCTGGGTTGTGGGTACGAAGCCTATTGGATGTTCGTTGGGATTTCGATAGGGGGACCTTTAGGGGGCCTCTTGGATGCAGTTTTGAGGCCTCTTGGGGGCAGTTTTAGGGCCTCTTGGGGTCGCTGTTGGGTCCCTTGGGCGCCTCTTGGAGCCTCTTGGGGTGTCGTGGGTGCCTCTTGGGGCCTCCTGGCAGCCTCGTGGCGCGGAACGCTTGGATTTTCGGTTCGTGTTCCTTCTCTCGGGCCGCTATTGGACCCGTCTTGGGGCCCTCTTGGGCCGTCTTGGGCGTCTCTTGGGCCGCCTCGGGGCGCTCGAGGGCCGTCTTGGGACCCTCTTGTAGGCCTCTTGGGCAGTCCTGGGGTGGCAGTGGGGGCCTCGAGGGCCGTCTGAGAGCGTCGAAAAGGAAACAAGGCGAGAACGCCAAACTCTTTGAAACAACGAATACAAATCAATGATGTGTGCCTCTCAGGGTCCTCCTGGGAGGCCTCTTGGGGCATCTTGGAGGCCTCTTGGGCCATCTTGAGGCCATTTAGGGCGTCTTGGAGCGATTTTTGGGCGTCTCGGAGCGTTCTGGGGCCGTCGTGGGCCTCTTTGGGCCCTGCTGGCCCGTTTTGGGGCCCCCATCGCTCCGAAATAGTCACGCGAGAAACCGCGAGAACCCCTAGGAGAAGATGTCCCGATGTGGGGTCTGGGGCTCTGAACGACTCCTCAGGCGTGATGACTGAGGCTGAGAGGATGATGGCAAGGACCTGAGGGCACGCCCATTCCGTGCCCAGAGGCACGGTGGCGGATCTACATAACCATTATAATCCGATGATCATAGCTCCGACGGGTCGCACCGCATTTCCGAGCTCCAATGGGGGAGCCGTTTGGGGGTATTTCAATGTGTTGTTGGTTTGAATCGTGGGGGGTGGCAGTAACTCGGGTTAGCGGTCGGTAGATTGGGCGAGGTGGCAAACATGAGCCAGGAGCAGCGATGACCCCATCCCCGAAGGGGAAAAATGGGGTTGGACAGGGAATCGCGATTTGACCACTTCCTGCGGGGAGGCGGGGGGGCTTTTGAGTTAGGAGACCTCATTCGAGAAGTTGTCTGGGTCGGTTTCGGCGACGCCATCATCGTTATTTTGGGCCGTGCGACGCCGCCTGTGAAGCGGCCCGGCCAGTCTCGCCTGAGACATCCTGGCAATTGTGGGCTTCGAGATGCCGCGCGAGAGATAGTCCAACCCATTTCGCTGCGACATTTTCGCCGCTGTCCTGAGGCGGTCCAGCACGTTTGGCTTGAGACATCCTCGAAGAGCCGTCTTCGCCCGATACATCCTCGCTATTCTGGTTTAGTCGATGCTCTTGCCGCACGGTATCCGATCCCGTTTCCTCGCTACTCTGGGCTTGCAGGTGCCGTGGACTGCTCGTTTCGTTTGAGATCTCATTGCCACTGTGGGCTCATGTACTTATGTCCTCACCTCACGTGGTCCCCGTCCTTTTCGCCTGAGACGCCGTCGGGATCGTGTTTTCGGGGATGCTCAGACCTGAGGTGGTTCAATCAATTTCGCCCGAGATCTCCCCTTTTTGGGCTCAGAGATGTCCTGTCAATGCTGCCGCCGATGACCGATTCGACAATTCGTGGCACTTTTCAGATGAACGCTTGGGGAGACTGGAACCATCCTTGTTGCCAGTGGCAAATCTGTCAGTCGGGGGCCACTTGTCAAACGGGCGGGGGAGCACTGCATGACGCGTTGCCCGTCGATTTCACACGCTAGTCACCCAAAGGTGTGGGCGGATTTCCTTGCCTTAGATGCTCACATTAGCCAGACTGCTGCTACTGCATCTCGCCTTGTCTTTACGATGATCACTTCGCCTTCAAGGCCCGCGGGTTCGGAAGTCATGGGGCGTCGCGCCAAGTTTGCGGGAGGGGTCAGTGATACGCCAGCACCAAGCTTGGCCAGGCCTTCCGTGGGCTTTCGCCAGTGGCCACTGAGAGGCTTGGCCAATTTAGGAGCTTCGATTCCTGGCCGATCTGGCTCTTGGATTCCAGTTTCGGTCAGATCCGCCGCGCGCCACTGAAATGTGTATCGATTCAATCTGAGGACTCGAAGGGTGAACCTCTCGTCCTCGGCGAAAGCCAACGCAAGTAAAACGAGGACGGTGCCGCTGATGGAAGCTCGGCGGAAGTTGGCGGAGGTGCAGCGGGAAACTCCATGAGAGGCCAACGCTGGCTTCCGAGGTGCCATCTGTCATCCGACCGCTCATCATTTTCGCGATCGTCTTCGCCATGGCCACCTACGACCAGGACATCCACCTGATCCCCAACATAAGGAGGCCACATGCAGACCCTACCCCTACCCCCCACGATTTCTGAGGGGGAGGGTGGGGTTCACTTCGCTCGAAGGTTCCCGAGCGAAGTGAACCCCACCCTCCCCCTCAGAAATCGTGGGGGGCAGGGGTAGGGTTCGCAATGTGGCCCCCTAGACGTGCTGGTGAAAGAGCTCCAGAAAGAGGGCGGTCGGAAGAAGCCCGGGCCAGCGCCCCGTGGAGCGCGCGAGCGGGAGCCCGAGCGGATGGCGAACGGGGCGCGGCAGGGCGACAGCTCGTCGCCGAACGAGCGTGCCTGCAGCGGTCAGACATCGCGCACGCTGTAGGCAGCTCGTCGCCGAGGGTGGGCTCCCGAGTGCCCGTGCCCGTCCTGCGTACTTCCTGGGCCTGCACGCTCCGGGGAGCGGCTTGGGGGAAGGGGAACGACGAGCGACGGCGGCAGTGGACAAGGGAAGCCAGAAGCGAACAAAAGAGAAAGAGAGACGGCCAAGAAAGGCAGGGGAAAGGACAAGGACGGGGAAGAGGAGGAACGAAGACGAGAGAGAGAGAGAGGAAAACGAAACAAATTCAGTGTTCGTGGCTATCTCGAGAAAATCCCTCCGGGGTGGGAGGAGTACACCCTGGCAGTCGGGCGCCAAGCAGACAAGTCTCGAATCCTGTCGAATCTTAAAAATAAATCCGCCATGAAAACACCTCAGGCCAGCCAGGCCCGAGACTGGAGGCGAAACGGAGAAGCTCTGACAGAGAACGCTGAAACGCCCGCGCGTTTCCGGCCGCAACAATACAAGACGGCAGCACGTTGCATGCGGACCCCGCCCAAAGCGGACCAGAAAAGGTAGTCTGGCGCCCGGGTGGAGCACGGGTCTACCAAGCGCCGCCTGCGCCGCCGCGCGGCACGAGGAGGTGGCATTGACGCATTCAGAGCGAAAATGATTCAAAACACGCCAGCCCCAGGTCCAAGTCAGTTTCGTGGGTCAAGCATAGATTAGCCATGTCCCGGCGGGGCGCTAGAGGAGCCACGTTAAAACTACGTAGGGCATCTTCGTCGGAGATACCGATTCGAAGCGTGAGAAATGGCACAAGTCCCATATTCGATGAAAAATGTGCGCCCTGTACAGGAGGACAAGCTCAGAGTCCGCGCGGAGGTGCCGCGAACGAAAAAGCGATTGCAATCTCCAACCACATTCGTGCACACTCCTGTATAATGTCTAACACTCTAAGTTCACAATCGATGTTAAGGCCAAGATTTGGAAAACTGCCTCCAGATCGCCTGCTGCGGGACACAATGTGCCTGCTTTCTTTGGAAGGAGGAAGGAGGAAGGAGGAGGAGGAGGAGGAGGAGGAGGAGGAGGAGGAGGAGGAAGAGTAAGAGGAGGAGCAGGAGAAGGAGAGAGGAGGGAGGAGGAGGAGAAGGAGAGAGGAGGGAGGAGGAGGAGAAGGCCCCCCGGGGGACCCTTCCGGGCCGCCGCCGCGCCAGCCAGGAGCTGTGCGCGGCAGACTCGGAGGACGAGGAGGGCTCGGAGGGCGCGCGGCCGCTGCCCGCAGGCGCGGCGCGCAGCCCCGCCGGGGGCGAGGGCGGGCACCTCGGCTCCGAGCTCGCCCAGGCTCCGAGGCGACGCGACCAGCACGGACCCCGGGGCCTGAGAACGTGAGTTGGGAGGAGGAATCGGTTGGGAGGAGGAGGAGGGGGAGGAAGGGGAGGAGGAGGAGGAGGAGGAGGAGGAGGAGGAGGAGGAGGAGAAGGAGAGAAGAGAAGAGAGGAAGAGCTGGGAGGAGGAGGAGCGGGCAACGGGGGGGGCCCACATTGGGACCACGGGGAGGGGGGCGGGGGGGGGGCACCTGGAGTGCAGCGGTGGGGGCCCGTAAAGACTCCCCATCCCCCACTCGGCGAGGCGTCGCGAGGCGTCGCGATGCGGCGATGCGGCGGCAGGCTCGCGACGCATCGGCGACGCGCCGCGAGCCTGCCCGGCCCCACGCCGCCTTGCAGTAGGGGAACATACAACTGACAAGAACATAAAAGCTCGGAGGTCCGCGCAGATTTGTCCGATCGGCGCTGGAGCCCCCTGGCGCGCTCCGCGCGCCAGGGAGGGGGGCCCAGCGCCGATCCGAGACATCCGCGCGGGCCTCCGAGTTTGTATGCTTACGTCATCGTCTGTTCCCCTACTGGCAGCCCGACAGGACCCGACGCCAGCCTGCGCGGGGCGCTGCGGCTGCTGCGGCGGGCGGCTGGCGAGGCCTTGGCGCGGCCGCGCGCGGCCGCGCCCGCCTGAGGAGGCCGCGCGCGCGGGCCGCCCTCGCGCAGTCCGGGGCGCGGTCCCCTCCCGGCGGGGCGCGGGGCCTTCTTGGAAAGTTCGGTGGCCCTCAGGGTTATCGGGGGCGTCAAGCAGTGGCGAAGCGTCCCAGCTCGCTGATAGGCCTATACAGGCCTGGACGGTCGGCCCCCTGCTCAAGAGGGGGATGACTGAGGGGGTGGATATCATGGCGTGGGCCATGATGCTTTCCTAGATGTCATGGAGCCTCTTCTCATTTCATTACGTCCCTAGCCCCCCCTTGGGCCGCGGACATGCTGCCGGCCATGATTTACACCCCCCCCTCTTGGACGCCTCCCTCTTGGCCGCCCCCGAGATTATATTACCCCAGATTTAAGTCGGACCTGTCCCTCCACAGGAGGCATATCCAAAAATATGTACAACATCACATTATTCGATTATTTTATGAGGACTGCTCGACTTAAGTCTAGGCCTCCTAAATGGGATGGTGTCGGAGTAGATGGGGTCGGACGATCGCGCCGCATCGCCGATGCATCGCCGATACGGCTTGATGTGGAGCCCGATGTACTTCGCGTCGACGTCGCCGATGCATCGCCGACGGAAATGATGCATCGCCGATGCATCGCCGATGCATCGCCGATGTATCGGCGATGCGGCGCGATCCTCCAACCCCATCTACTTTGACCCCATCTAGGAGGCCTCTCATTACACCAGAGAATCGGGACGATCGAAATGGGTAGGGAAAGAATGGGTACAAAGACCAACAGAAGCTCCTGTCCATTCTGTACACAGGGCTCGCTGTCCGGGCCGACGCGGACGTCGTCCCTGGAAGGCACAAAGCCGCCCGCCCAACAGCGACGCCCAACAGTGACCACTGTCGGTTTTGGACAGCATATGTTGTTGGGCATCGTACACTGCTTCTTCGGATCATTTCGGGCGTCCAAAGAGGAAAACCCTATCAGTGGACGGTTTGAAAAATTTAGTGGTGATATCGATTGAGCGAGATGGATCGTGCGATTGACAATGAGATGGATGGTGAGCTCGATCGTAGGATCCCGACATCGGCCCAGAACCAGCAACTGGGAACCCAGGAACCCAGAACCGGAAACCCAGGAACCCAGCCGGCTATCGAAATCGGAAATTCAAGATCCGCTAGGACCCCTTTAGTGCAAGCACTGATTGGGGAGTTAACGGGCGGAGAGCGGTACGACATAAGTTGTTCGCCGTCGGGGACGCCCAAGGCGGTTGGGAAGAGTATACCCCTGCGGTGGCGCGTCAGGATATAGATTGTCCAGCCGCCTTGGTCGGCCACGCGCAGAGGGGGGTCAGGGGAGGGAGGAGGCTTCTCAGAAGCGCCCCTGCTTCTCAGAAGGCGCGGGCCTTGCCTGCAGATGGAAGGCCGGCGCCCTCCAAGAAGCAGCCCCCTTCTGCCGAGCCTTCCCCCCTCCCACACTCCCCCCTGCGCGCGCCGCCAACCTGGGAATGACGCCCCCTGGTGACGGAGCAGCTGGTGTTGTACCCTCCGTCGCCCGCTGGCTATATCGCCGGGTCCCTCGCGATGCGTGTCTTCGTTGGGCCCCCGCGGGGCGAACAGCTGTCCCTGGGGGAGGGCCACTTCTCGGGAGGGGCAAAACCCACAGCCGATCCCCAGGAAAAGATGCGGAATAGAGGAAGTGGGGGGAAGACGAAACTCCGGGAAACATGAGAAAATATGCGCGGCTTGGGTACTGTGTGTGTGTGCTCATTCGTGTGTCCCGGGGTCCCCTCACACTGGGCCGCGGATCGACAGAAAAACACGTCGGCGGATGTCAGGGGCGCCGCCATTGTGGAGGCCTTTCAGCCACTCGGGCCTCGCCACGATGTAAAGACCCTTTTTTTTTGGAGCTGCTTCGACAGCTTTCTGAGGTTTGCATACGTTTTCTAACGTGTGTTTACGCTGTTTGTTTTAGAACGTTGTGTTGAGCCCGTCCGGAGTTTTTTGTCCCCAATGTTTTTGTTTTTTTTTCTGACGTTTTGTCGTACGTTGTTTCCTCACGTGTGTCTCGCGTTTGTTCCAGCCCATCTAGCTTTCATTACGTCGTTCTGTCTTACGAGGTTTTGTTTCCAGCTTTCATTCTTTTTTGGTTTAGTCCATCTAACGTTTTGCCTTACGTCGTTTTCTCACGTTTGCCTCACGAGGTTTTTTGTTCTAGCGTTTACCTGACGCTTTTCTGACGTGTTCTGTGAGGCTTCCCCCCCGCGGGATCTGCTCTCCAGCAGCTGCGCCCCGGCGACGGCGTTCCCGGGCGTGCCCCCGAGAGCTGTCCCGGACGGCCGCCGGAGACCCGAGAGGTCGGCCACGCTCGGAGGGTGGACAGACCTCCTGCCCGGACGCGTCGATGAAGGAACTGGCCGTTTTCGGTTCCTCGATCCTCGAGCTTCTCGATCCTCGATCCTCGATTTGGACTATTTTTTGATGATTTTCGGGGTATCTTTTATTCTTCGTCGAAAATCCCCCTGTAGGGGGACAGGCCCGACTTGAGCATATCCTTCGGGGGTGGACAGACCTCCTACCCAGACACGTCGATTAGCGAATTGGCCGTGTTCGGTTCGCGAGAGGGGGTCGCGGCCGTCGTCTCTGCTGGTCCAGGCCCGTCGGTTTCGGCCCCAGGCCGTTTTCACTGGGGGGAGGTTTGCCAAAGGGAGCTTTGTCCACCGCCGATGCACGTATGAGTGACCCTTGGCCGGAGTGGCCTTTGGTGCGGGCCCAGTGGGGCCCCCCGTCGCCAAAGTTCGCCGAGTGCGAGGCGTTGGCGGCGGCTTGCGCGCCTGTGTTTGGCCCCGTGGCGGCCCCCGCTGAGCCGCGCACCAGAGGTAACGCTTGCCAATGGTCGCTCTTGTGTTCAGCCGAGAAGTATAGTTTGAAGACCGAACCCCTTGGCGTCGTGGCACACATCACGGCGGCTGGCTTCTGACTGACCGTCGTGGGCCCCTGGTGGGCCCCCGTCACACGGGCGCCTGGGCCGCCCCAAAACGATTCATCCAAGGGTTCTGGAGAGAGTCTTTGTGAGGGTCCAGCGATACCCGAGTTATCGGGCCCGCCCTCCATCCCTGACCTTCCAGAGTGCTAAATAATAGCTATCCGGACCTATGCACCTATCTGGACCGCCTAAAACCTCGACAGGAATTTAGATGTCGAGGTCCTGGTGCTATTTTTTGACACTCCTGGGAGGTCAGGGCCCCTGCCCCCAGAAAGCCTGACCTCGTCGCTCGCGCAGGTCCGAAGGGGGTGTGCAGTGGTGGCGCGCGCGGGCATCCGTGGGGCTGCCCAGGGCGAGAAAAGGTTATGGGCCAGCACCTCCCCCCCCTCCCTGCCCCAGGTGGCCCGGACTCCCGCCGACAACGGAAAGACGGCCCCCGGACCTGGGAGGGGCACGCTGCGAAGGAACCGCGGCGTCGGGGGTCCAGGAGGGGGGTCCTCCTCCTCCTCCTCCTCCTCCTCCTCCTCCTCCTCCTCCTCCTCCTCCTCCTCCTCCTCCTCCTCCTCCTCCTCCTCCTCCTCCTCCTCCTCCCATCCTCCTCCTCCCCCTCCCCCTCCCCCTCCCCCTCCTCCTCCTCCCGGAGAGAGAGAAAGGCGGGCCCCGAGGTCTGTTCTCCGCTCTCGGGCTCTCCCGCCCCCCCCAGCCCCCTGCAGCTCGGGGCGAGCAGCTGGTCTTCTGGGAGGAGGCCCCGGGGTCCGGGTCCCGTGTCCCTCCGGGCCGGTCGAGACGTAAGTCGGGCATGTCCCTCTACAGGAGGAATATTCAAAACTATTCAGAGAATAATCCAGGGGCGATGTTTCGTGCTCTTTTTTGCCATTTGGGTGTACTTTTTCGCCTCCTGCGCTGTGCAGGACGTGTGATGAATCAGCCTCGTGTGAAAGTGCGTTTCTCGGGTTGACCCCACAGGGGGTCCAGCGACGAGGGAGTGGTGCAATAGATTTGGTGCAATTAGATTCTGTGGGGCTGCAATACATTTGGGGCGTGCAATACATTCCGGGGCGCAAATCTATTACTGGATTTTCGCGTGCATGACATTAGTTGCTACACATTGCAATACAATTCTCCAGCACCATACATGTGCAATACAATTGCCCAAAATCTGTTGAACGGAGTGGTACAATAGATTTGTGGGGTTGTAATGCATGTGGGGCGTGCAATACATTCCGTGGAGAAAAATCTACTGCTGGATTTTCGCGTGCATGACATTAGTTGCTACACATTGCAATGCAATTCTCCAGCACCATACATGTGCAATTCGATTACCCAAAATCTATTGCACCACTCCCTTGCAGCTGGACCCCCTTTTGGGTCACCCGAAGTTTCCCCGTCCAATTTGCTACGCCAGACGGAAGTCACGCCAAGCCTGGCCCGTCTTATCCGTCACTCGGCCGCTTGCGGAACAAGTGTGAGTGTGTGTGTGTGCGTATGTGTGTGTCGGTGCATGCGTGCGTGCGTGCGTGCGTGCGCGTGTGTGTGTGTATGTGCGTGTGTGTGTGTGTTTTGTGTTTTGTGTGTTGTGTTTTGTGTTTGTGTTTGTGTTTGTGTTTGTGTTTGTGTTTGTGTGTGTGTGTGTGCGTGTGCGTGTGCGTGTGCGTGTGCGTGTGCGTGTGCGTGTGCGTGTGCGTGTGTGTGTGTGAGTGTGTGTGTGTGTCTGTGTGTCTGTGTGTCTGTGTGTCTGTGTGTTTGTGTTTGTGGCTGTGGTTGTGTGTTTGAGCTTGTGTTCGTGTTCGTGTGTTTGCGTGTTTGTGTATTTGTGTGTTTGTGTGTGTTTGTGTGCCTGTGTGTTTGTGTGTTTGTGTGTTTGTGTGCGTGTGTGCGGGTGTGTTCGTGTGTGCGGGTGTGTGTCTGTGTGTGTCTGTGTGTGCGGGTGTGTGCGTGTGTGTGTGTGTGTGTGTGTGTGTGTGGGTGTGTGTGTATGTGTGTGCGTGTGTGTGTGTGGGTGTGTGTGTGGTGTGCGTGTGTGTGTATGTGCGTGTGTGC